CAAGAATAACAAGTAATATTATTTTGAACAGATTCGAGTCTTTTTATCATTGTACCTTTTACTTGGCCAGTTCTGTTCTTTCTTCTAAGAAATTTCCCAAATTTCTTAACCAACAAAGTCGAGTTCTCTGATTCATCTTCTTCAGATCCACTTGTTTTCTTCAATCGTCTTGAGAACAATATTTCTAGTTTTCTTTTCTGCATTCTCTTGTTCTTTGAACCGATTGATTTCCAACTCATGTTCCCTCAACTTACCAAAAAGTGAAGCGGTAGTCATTTCAGTCAAGTCTCTTGATTCTGATATTGCTGTCACCTTTGGTTGCCATGTTCTGTCCAAACACTTTAAAATTTTGATGTTCAACTCTTTTTTGTCAAAAGTCTTTCCTAACCCGATTAGATGATTAACTATGTGCGTGAACCTTTTCTGCACATCTACAATTGTTTCTCCTTGCTGCATTTTAAACAACTCATAGTCCCTGATTAACTCATGCTTTCTTGCCCTTTTCACATCAGACGTTCCTTCATGTGTAACCTCTAAAATTTCCCACATCTCTTTGGCGAGACACACTGAGACACCACTGAAAAACTCATCAAGATTTAAAGCGAGAGGTAATAATATTTTTTGCGGTATAATCATATTGGACTTTCCTATTTTCTACATCGGTTAATTCAGCCCAATCTTTTTCGACTACTTTACCATCTACAGTATGAGTTGGTTTATAAGGACCATTAACAATTGTTTCCCAAATGCCTCTATCAAGAGATTCAATAAAGATTTTCATTCTAACCTTCCAGAAAGAATAATTCACACCAGAAAAAAGTGGAGGCCTGTTTATGGAGGCTCCTTCTAAAAAATTCATCTTTCCCTCAGCCATTGGACCGATTCCTTGAGTAACTTACAAGAACCAGCTCTGGTACCAATTGAAAGAATTAATGGTTGAGTTCAAGAGGGGGGGTGAATTGAACTTTAAAACTTTTTCGCAAATCTTACTTTCTTTTGGAAGAATGAGTTATCTTTATTCAATCTTTGCAAAGGTAATTTGATTTAAACACAGCACAATTAAAGACAGAAATTAAAAGAGATGAAAGAAGAATATTAACACACAAGTTTATACTGGTTCACTCTAATCCAGAGCTACATCCAGTTCTTGACAAACCAGTCAAGTATCACTAATACCAAGTGAAAATTACAACCAGTAGATACTCACCAATCTACCCCAAGAACTATCTTGCAAAACCCACAAGACAGAATCTTGAAAACCACCCAGTAACCAAATCCAGTTACTGTACCAAGTGCAGATTACAATCCAACCTGCACAATCAAACTTTACAAAAGAATATGAAAAGAATAAACCTGGACTTGAAGTTTCTAATTGTCCAGAACCAATTCTATCAGCACTTTCTCTCTTTGAATGACCACAATTCTGATCACAGCACCTTATGATATGAAAAAGATTCTTGAATGCAGAGAAAGTCACGTATGAAAGTTTCACAGATTGATTTCACAAGTTTTCTCAAGTAGTGTATTGTATTGTATTGTATTGTATTGTATTTTTAAAAGATGAATCAAATCTGTATATATAGAGTAAATCAGAAAAACAGAACGTTTCATCTGTTAAAAACTGTTTTAGAGAGTCAAAAGATAAGTTGGTTAGCAGTAAAACAGGTTTAGAAGAGAATCTGATCGATTAAAACAGAAGAATGATCGATTAGACTGAGTTATGATCGATCAGAATAAAACTATGATCGATCAGAATGAGTTATGATCGATTAGAACAAAACTATGATCGATTAGAGTATTATTTCAATCGATTAAAAGATCGATTCAATCGATTGATTTCATTTAAAGTTCCTTTTAATCGATTAAGACATCGATTCAATCGATTGATTTCATTTAAAGTTCCATTTAATCGATTGATTCGAGTTTTAATGGATTAAAACAACTTAATGAAAAATGACAGCACTCTGTTTCAATCGATTGAAAATCATTTCAACAGATTAAATTCCTGCAAATACTTAGTTTAAAAAATAGTCTTTCTGTTTCAACAGATTGAAAAATATTTCAACAGATTGATTTTCTAAAAACTCTTAGACTGAAAAATATCTTTCTGTTTCAACAGATTTAAAATCATTTCAACAGATTGAAAATGCGAAACTTGATATTGAAAATTCATTGAGTTATTTTAACTTGTTGATTCCGCGAATCAATCAATTGAATTTTCGATTATGTATGACCATTTATTATGTTAAGTGATTTTAACAGATTGAAAAAATCCTTTTCAACAGATTAAAAAACTTAGTTAATTCTTTTAATATTTAAACGTAAGTTTTTCATGCAGAAAAATGATTTTCAATGAGATGCATCATTTTAAGGTGCTTATCACAAAATATAATGGCCTATCAAGAGATTAAGTGCTTAAACTTAAAACCCTAATCATCTACACACCCACAACCTAAGTTATATCTATGTCTTCATCAAATCCACCAAGTGCTTCAATTGCTTGGGAAGACAATGTTTCAAGTACTTCTAGTAAGTCAAGTGGAAACACAAATGAAGAAGTAAATCTTTATTTGATGACAGATACAGAAACATCAAGCAAATTCAGTGTATGTACCTCTGCATCTAATGATAAAAATAATTATTATCAATTGTTGGATGCTTTTAATGAAATGCATGATGAAGCAAAAAAATTAGCATATTCTAATAACATATTTAAGGGTGAAAATAGACAGCGGGAGAATAGATTAAAATAACTTGAGAATGAGAATGAATGTCTAAAAACAAAGTTAGAAACCTTAGAAAAGAATAATAAGAATTTTGTGCATGAATGTGTTAACTACAAGAAACATTTAGAAAGAATAAAGTATCTTCTCAAAATGCTTTCAAAATTTACATTAGGAAAAGCAAACTTAGATGCTATATTAAATTCCTAAAGATGCACTTTATGTTGGGAATCCAAGTATGATTCTAAGTTTCACATTGTGTAAGAATGAGAAAGTTGAGCAATATATAACAAAAAAAGACTCATAACCCAATGCTTTAATGTTTTGAGTTGAGAGTGATGTCAATCTTTATGTGGGTTGGACTCATGTCTCATTGGTGTGTTTCTCCTTGTGAATCCCTTCGAAAGACCTAACACAAATATATAAGATTAGGTGAGATAAAATATAAAAATTTTAAATACTTAGTAATTATTTTAACAAAATAAGAAGATACACCTATATACTCACATGGAACAACATTTACTTATTTTTTTAAAATAACTAAATTAATCTTAAAATTAACACTAAACCAAACTTACAAAGAAAGAAAAAATTAGGACAAAAAGAAGTTATTTAATCTTCATGGTCTATTTGTACGAAAGGAAAATGAAGAATGAAAAATGATTTTATAACCTAATGAATAATTTTTTTTATTCATTGATGAAAATATATATCATTTTATTATAAGTAATAATCTTATATTATAAATAAGTGAATATAATTTATTTTGCTAAAAAGATTATTTTTAGAGTTAATTCTAATTATATTTAAAATATTAAAAATTTTATATATAATAATATTATAATATATAAATTTTGAATTTTTTAGGTTAAATTATATATATTTTTCATTTCTAATATTATCTTATATATTAAAACAAAATAATAAAATATTATAGTAGAAGGTAATATTTTTCAAATCACTCATTTCTTATTGTGATTAAATGAATATATGAATATTTTTATAACGACATAATTATTTATTTATTTATTATTTAAAAATAGTTATTTTTTAATATTTTTTTATCATTGAATGAATAAATACATTTTGTATTTTATTTTATATTTTTATTTTTTTTTCATTTTATTTTATTATAATAAAACATAATCTTATTTTTTCTTAAATAATGACAAAACGGGTAGTGGGTAGCATTTTTCATTGATAACAAGCAAAAAAAAAAGTTTGATTTATTAGTTAGTGACTTTAAGACCCTAATTAATGCTTAGTCTATTCTTTTATGAAATATTTAAGAAGTTAATGAGATAACGTATTAATCTTCCTGTTTTTAGTAAAGAGTCGGTGCATGCGTAGATCGTGCACTAGCTCAGCATTTTCCTCTGTCTATTTGAGAGTTATGCCCTTCTTTTTAGATAAACATTAAATAAAATACTTTCCTCAACCTCTCTCTGCATTAATGCTATATTCAAATAAAATAATAAAAATCCATTCTTTACATAATCAACAAAACTAAAATAATTTTTTTTATTAAAATAAAAATTAAAAAAAATGTTATGTATGAACAATAACAGAAAAGAAAAGAAAAGAAAAAAACAGTTCTCGAATGTTATTTTATCATATATGAAAAAAAACGTATTAACGTTTAAAATAATTACCTTAAAATCATATTGACTATGATTTGAATTTGTGTGAACCGTGAAATTACATAATTAATCACTTCGTTTCTTTTTACCGTTATTTAAGGTTTATATGTTAAAACTAAAATACATAATAAATTTTCTTATTTTTAGTATTTAAATGAGCAAAAAAATTAAAATATCAAAACTATTTTTTTAAATAATAAATAAGGATTTTATATATATACAAAAAAATTAGTTCTAACATGATTTTTTTATGGACCTAATAACGTTGGGAAATCTTTAAAATTATTCTTGAAAACCAATATTGTAAAATGATATTATTAAGATTCAAATTGTAAATGACGAAATGAAAAAAAACATAAATCACTTCCACTTTTTGGAGGTTTTGTTGTGGGGACCAATCTTGGTTGTCTTTAATCTCCCTAAACCAATGTTCCCGTTGGAAGCAAATAAGAACAAACAAAAAGCATGCCAGCTTTCAAACCTGTGCTAAAACAATCACATCATGGACCACAACAACAGGGTCCGAAGAAATCATGCATTCTCGTCACGAACACCACCTTCCCCTCCCATGTTTTCCTTCATTATTTCTCTTTCCATCACAGCACTAATCTTCATGTGCTTCTTCGTTTTCTCAGCCATGGTTTCTGCAGTCATTCTTCTAGCCCTGTGCATCACCACCCTCATCCTTTTCAGGTTCATGCATGATAGGCGTGATTTGAGAGAAGGAACCTCTCTTCATGCACTCACTCCACAGAATAACCAAAGGGTGGTGAGAATTTTCGATAAGCTTTTCTGGGTTGTTGAGGAAAAAAGGGGTGCCCATATGCATGAAGTTAAGAAGCTGCTAGGATCTATTGTGTGTTTTGGAAACCAAGCAATGGCGTCATCAGGTGGCTGTCCCTGCAAATAAATCAATCGATTAATGACAGATTTAGTGACCAAAATAGTTTTTTTTTCAGTAATAATTTTAAAAGGAAAATCTATGATACAAGTTGTTAAAGTTTTAAGGGTTTCATGTCTAAGCTATATGAAATTGTGACTAGAAATATTAGACCTAGGGTATAATAGAAATTTCAGACATTTATTTGCTTATATACAAGAAAATGTTATAAAAATTAAAAATTACATACATTTGTTTTCATTGATCTAAACTTTTGTTGTAGGGAGTGAATGTGCAATTTGCTTAGAGGATTTCAAGAATGGAGAAGAGTGCCTTGTTTTCTCAGTTTGTGGTCACACCTTCCATTGTGATTGTATCAACCACTGGTTAGAGGAAAAACCCACTTGCCCAAATTGCCGTCATTATGTGCCATCATCAGCCACCATGGTCACACAATCAAGAAGCATGGAATTCTTGGAGAATTTAGTTTAGTGTTTGGCAGAGATTTTTGGAACATGTTTGTGTGAAATCATGTTGAAAAAGATTATACTAATGTTTCACTGTTTGAAACTAGGAAAACCAGTGAATGATAAAGTTCCTTCCTTTCTCAATCACCCTTTTACTTCTTTCCCTATACTTATTATTATTGTTTTCCTCTTTAAGAATTAACTTAACTCATATATACAGAAAGAAGTAATTCAACTTTTATTTTCTACACATTTTTATTGAACAATGCTTAACTTTATTAAATAAGATGTTTAAAAATGCTTCAAGATTATTAAATGTGAGTATTGTTTAAGATCTAATTAAGCGTCTCAATTTTTACAAGTACAATAATAATAATAATAATAATAATAATACATTCTTTCACATGCTAAAATTAATCTCATTAATTGAAGAATATTATTCTCCTAATAAGAAAACCAACTCTTCTTTCTCATTTTTTTCTTCCCAAATGTTGACACTTAGAGAAAAAAAGGGAGTGATCCAAGTTTATCAACCTCTTCAATTCATTTCTTTTTACTTCATTTCTTCTTAATTTAAGGTACACTTCTTTCTATCCTAGTTTTCTATTTCACTTCTAACTCATCAATTTCTTCTAATATCAAGAGACCTTCTTATTTTCCTTCCTTAGGAAGAGCTTATCTTACCCCTCCTTTTCATTCTCTTGTTAATTGAAGCTTCATCAAGGTAAGGAGAGTTTATTCCAAGCCCCAAATCCTATCTTTGTAATTTTGCTTGAAAAATCGTGTATTTATGTTTACTTTGGAAAAGTAATTTAAAAAATGAGTTTCTTTATTATATAACATAAAGGTAGTTAGTTATAAAGACCACACACACAAAAAAAATAAAAAAAGTTTTTTTAGAGGAAACTATGATAAAACCAACTTGCACACAGTTTTTGAAATTTTGTTATATGAATTTATACTATAATATTTGTACTTTTTTTTTTATCTTTATGGTGTATTATGCTTGAAAGGATGATTATTGAATGTTAAAAACTTTAAGTTAAGAATTATATTTTGTAAGTGTGTGGCAGAGTAACCTAAAGGTATAACATGCATGAATAAATGTTACATTAAGATGAAGTTACGAATTTTAACAATCGATTCACAACAAACCATTGACCAATAATTCAATTCAACCGAACATTGAATTATATAACATACAAAATTCATTTTGAAAACCGCATTTTCTCATACGTTTGCATGGCTTTAATACAATTTATATACAGTTATATGACAAAGTATTTTATCTATGTAAACTAATAGTTCATGTCTCACTAACATATAATTTACAAAGGAACATTAAGAATAAAGTTGATTGTTATTTGCATTAAGTTGTGAAAGATGACTAAGCTTTCTTTGGTTTAAATTTTTGCCTTCATCCTTGTCGTTTTAGGTATTCTAATTTCACAGGTTATAATATTTTACAATCTTCCAATGTTGTAAAACTTTTCATTGTTGAATAATATTTCCAAGTTTGATTTTGTATTTTTCAGTTATTTCAAGGACAAGCGAAGCTGATGGATTGAAGTGATTAGCAATTACTGCAATTTCGCAATATATAAACAGGATTGCTTCATCGAATAGAGAGACTTTCGAGGCTCCGGAACCTGCATTGGCAGAGGACCTTTCCACTGTCTTTGTGTTTATGATTGTTTTACTTAAGAAGTTTGCAGAGCAATTAGCACCATGTTTTCTATAAAATTACGGTGTGATAATAAGTTATTTGTTTCATGACTTTGGAATAAATATTCATTTTTAAATTAATTATTATGATGAGGTACTTTTGAAACTACTTTGTCAATTGGAGTTTAATTTCAGAAAGGAAACAAAAAGCCTCAATTTCAAAGCTTAAACCACTTTTTAAAAAATGTATACAATTTTACAAAATTATACTTTCAAACTACTTATTAATCGATAAAAAGTGAAGTTTTTGAGATGTAAAAAGAAATTCCCATCAAATACTTATCAAGTAGCGCATTTCATGTGCAGGTAGCCAAAATAATAGTTTGCTAATAGGAGATAAGGGCAATCAATAAGCAACGAAAAACATGGCATAAAGAAATCCAACAACATTCCAAACGAGTTCGAGAAAACATAAATAAAACCATACCGATAAAACATAAATAAACCATACGTGCTGTCTGATAGATAAAGTTAAATTGAAAGTAAAACATTCGAAGACTTCATCATGTCTCAAGCATCTTCATCAGGAATTGCAGCAGGCTGAGGCATTTCTTTCAACGGATCTTCAACCACCGTTTTTGGTGGAAAGACTTTGTCACAGTCCTTAGCCCCAATTTTCGTGAACTCTGGAATAAGCATATTCACATATGCAGCTAAGGATTTCTTAAAGTGTTTTGAGGAGCTCTTGTCACCTTGATCAACATCCTGCACCCCACCAGGGGCCAAACAACCAACTTGAGCACCATCCATGTATGCTTTGCATGCCACCAGAATATCATGAGCTCGGCTGCAGAAGTGCCCAGCCACGAAGTCCTCAAAATTCTGAAACCAAAAATAACCATATATATTTACCTTAATAAAGAAATTCCTGATGATAAGAAAATTTCACATGTAATCTTGAAGATTAAGTGAATATGGGTGTGGTGTTGAATTGATAAATCATACAATAAAGTGCAACGCATGGAATATGGGATTCACTACATGATAAGATATTCCAACAGTGTGCAATAAGGTACAAGTGAACATGACAACGTACACTTTGTCAACAAATATAAGTTGTTTAATATATTAAAAAAAAGAAAAAGAAATGAGATATGTCAAGAATCAAACTTTTGGAGTTCTTCTCATGACATGCACCATTGTCCTCAATGATAAGATGAATGTGGTCTCATTGTAGTATAAAGAATGATCTTCAGCCTCTTTTGAACCTCTGAGACGGGCATTCGACGGCTCATTAAAGTATGGCTCCGAATTCAAGATTAGACCCTGTATAGAGACCAGAATCTGTAAAACTGTTGAAACACCCGGAACCCACTTCTCATTCTTATAACGGCTGGACCAGGTGTTGAGCAGACTAAGGCAAACTTTGCCACAATAATACAAATTTGGGTTGAGCCGAACCCCATAAGAGTGGTAATGGACTTCCTGCATTGAAAAATATCCCTTTGTTAGACTTGGAAAAAGAAAAATGTGAACATGAAAAAACATGGGCAATTCAGATAGAATACAGTAACCCCAACCACATACCGGGGGTACATTGGGATAGTTACTTGGGAACAAAACATCAAAAAAGAAAAGGCCATCATGATAAGGCGTTCCATCTGCTCCAATAATTACTGCCCTCAAAAGATCAATTCTTGATTCATAAACTCTGATAAATATCGAATCTGATCAAAATAAAATAAAGTGTCAAAGCAACAACAAGGGATTGCCCAAAAAGAATGTGGCAAATTGCTCACAATTATCCAAAACATAATATACAGCCATATTCACTTCCAATTTCAGAGAAACTGTATCTGGATTCCACAGAGGGAGAGAATAGTAAACACTGTTTCGTAAGGATATATATTAAAAAAATGTATCCATGCAAATGGTGTTTTGGTCGGAAAATGAGTACCCTTATCATATTAATAACAGTCGTAGAGACAAACATTCGATATAAGATCCACCAGCTCCATATGATCCATGCGAAATGTGACTTGATAAGGAAAATATTTTAGCCAATTTATTACACGAATATTAAACAAACTCTCACCCGGTAAATCCTTCTCCAATGACTTCCACTCTTCCTGGATTCTTTTTGCACGATTCTTTGAATGCTGTTCAGAAAATAAATTGACAGTAAGCCTAAATAATTAAGATTAAATGTGAAAAAAGAAAGAGGAATGCATTAAAAGGTACTTGTTGCATGGATAAGTCAGCTTCAACATAGTAGTGGTCTGAAGTGTCTTCAATGACGTCAAATTGTTTGAAGTTATGAAATTTCCTCAAAATTTCATCTCTGGCTTCATCGGATATTGTAGCAACAGTACTATTGGAAGCTGCTTCATTGTTTTCATCTCCCACAAAATCATTAAACCAAGGGTTATCAAACAATATATCGGAATTGACATGAAAAGGAACAGAGGGACCAGCCAAACTTGATTTTAGTACAGCTTCAGGGACTTCTAGAAATTGAATACCTTTCTTCGACCACTTATCACTAGTAAATCCAGCTCTAGGAAAATGAAACGAAGATCCAACAGAAGGTGAATGATATGGAGTGTCACTTTTACCTTCTGTCTTAAAATCTGTAAATCCTCCCCATTTTAGTAGCTCATCTAGTGCCCGTTTCTTGGCCTCGAAAACGGAGGCATCGCTAGCATAAAAAGTGTCAGCCTTCCTTTTAGTCGCAGAAGGTCCTGTAAACAAAATAGATTTAGATGACCTCATCTTAAATGCCAATTTTAACTTATGCCTCCTGTGATTTAGGGCATCTGATTTCTTTTTACTCAGGGAATTTATCATAGGGGAAGATAAACTCTTCTCCAGAAAGGTGTTTAATAATAGCAATCCTTTTTACTTGCAAATTAGAATTACCTGCAGAAAGTCCTTGAATTTCAAGGTTAGTAGGCTCTAATATTAATGACGGCTGCGATGAATCAGTCGCTTGAGAATTGTTGGCACCAGACCAAGGAGACAACGAATCATTGTTTGTCTTCTTCGAACCTAGATCAAACTCCGCCAACCAAGGAATGGGTACCTCAATTCCAGAAGGTAAATCCACTTTATCAAGATGCATCTGTATTTCAGCATATTTATCGGCGTCGATGAAATCATCTGAAAACAAATCACTGTAGTCATCATCATCATCATCATATGAGCCGTCAGAATTATGCCCATCACCTGATCCAGATTTATCATCATCAAACAATTCCTGAAAAAGATTTCAACCAAAATTTTAGAGCCTTTTATCACCTTGGAAAAGATAACAAAAACCATTTGTGAGAACAAATAGATCGTATACCATATTTTGATGATCATCATGAATGGTTGCTATCGCCTTCCCCTTGTCAACTTTAGTAACTTTGTCACCAATTACTTCTAAATCAGCAGAATCATCGTTGTCATCTATGCCGATCACAGCATCCCTTAAGACCTACAAAAGCAAAATACAATTAATACACAAGTCTAAGAGAAACATAAATCCCATATATACATAATTGAATCTGTGAAAAAAACAAGAACAAAACATATAAAAGGGAAAATGTTGTGTTATTGAAATGTATGTAAATCCAATCAATTTGAATATGTCAGTCAAAAATAGGAAATAAAGCACACAATTCAAAATTTATGATGAAGACAAAAAAAGAATTAATCAGCAATTCAGCATGTTAACACATTCCCAGCAACGGTAAAACTGGAGAAGAAACAACCCTGCAATTAGGAATTGCAATTACTTAACAAATCATTAGTATTAAGCCTATTGAGTGTTGCCAACTGAAAACAACCAAAAACTTAAATATGAACATAGCTTTGCATGTAACAATCCCAGTAAAATTTCGGGAGAAAATGACAACAATGTTAGTACAGAAAGGATCAACTTGTTTGATGAAAACAATTTATCAACCAGACTAGAAAATTTTAACTCGGGAGACTAGTAGTGTTTAATGTTTTACAATGTTACAGTCGAAACACTATCCCTCTCCTGAAACACAACACCAACGAATTAATCCTGTAGCAGGCAGATAGAGAAACCTTGAACTCCACCCAATGCATGTCACAGCAACATAAAGGAAAAAATAAAATAAGGTCTTTCGGAACCAAAAGAGTCAACTGAAACCCAAACCACCATCATCCCCAAACCCTTCTTAAATTAAAACAAAAAATTTCAAGAATTTACTCAGAACTCGGCATAACTTGGTTTAATAAAAACAATTTAACAACCAGACTAGAAAGAAAATTTTAAACTCGGGAGACTAGAAGGGTTCAATGTTTTCAATGTTACAATCGAAACACTATCCTTCTCCTGAAACATAACACCAACAAATTAATCCTGTAGCATGCAGGCCGAGAAACCTTGAACTCCACGCAATGCATGTCACCGCAACATCAAAGAAAAGATAAAATAAGGCCTTTCGAAATCAAAAGAGTCAAGTGAAACAGAAAACACATCATCCCCAAAACCTTCTTAGATTAAAACAAAAAAAAATAAAAAAATTTCTCAGAACTCAGCATAAATAACACAACTGTGATAAAAAAGAAAACCATATTAAAAAATATATATTGAGGATAGATAGACACTGAGATATATAACTATATCAAATCATATATAGTTATATAGCTAGTTGTATACCTCTTTCTGCTTCTCCGAAGAGGAAGTGTTGTTAGTCCCCGGAGATGGAATCTCGACAATGTCAGCGTCCATTTTCAGATGAGAGCAGGGAACACAGTCTAAAAGCAAGGAACACAGTCCAACAAGATGACCGCGTTTCAATTTGGAGAATCCAGAGAGGTAAGAATTTGAAAAGAGAGTGAAAGAGGACAGCTTTATTGCTGAGAAGTGGTTGGAGAAGGATGCGGGTGGATCTGGTGATGGAAAAGCCAAAAACTGTCCCCTTTGTGATAGGGGAGAGAAGCAACTTGGAGAGGATAGAGGGATAAGGAGAGAGAAAGTGAGGAGGATAGACGGAGAAAAAAATGTGAAGAGGAGAGTGAGAGGAGAAAGGTTTTTATGGAAGGGATATCGGCCTCGTCATGAACGTCGGCATGGCCAGCTACCAGGCCGATGGTGGGTGTATTTATACGTACGTGTGTGCGCGCCTTTTTTCTGATTTAAAATTGAAAAACTATATTTTTTATGTTTTATTTTACATTTTAAAAAAAGTTATCTATATTAAGTCAAATTTGTAAAAAATAAATTATTATTAGAAGTTTCAATACAACATAATTATCAAAATTTAAGATTTTTTTTATATATAAAAAAATTATTGTAAAGAGTAAGGATCTCTTCTACTTTAGGGTTTAGCTGCCCTTGTTTCTTCTTCACCATGAGATCCTGCACAACTATGTTCATTTGCTCTTTGTAATAAATGTTTTGATTATGTTCATTGTAATAATTGTCATTCTTTGTGATCTTTGAGCATAGTTTTAATTTTTGAAATATTTAAGTAATTGATACTTCAATTTTTAATAAATTTATTAAGAATAATAAATGTATTAATTATGCTCTTTCACAATACTTTATATGTGATAAATAAAATAAAATATTTATTAATAAGTAATATAATGTCATGAAATTGTTTATTTATAATTTATAATTTTTATTTTTAAATTATTTGGTATTAAATCATTTTTGTATTTTGAATATAATTAATATATTACATAATATTCCTTATTTTTCTATATTTGCTATTTTTTATTAAATTTTTGAAGTATCGTTACTCTATAAATGACTAATGACATGAGTCATGCATGATTCTTGTCTCCACAGAATCTAATCTTCTTATATATTAGTCTAATAAATTTATATATATATATATATATATATATATATATATATATATATATATATATATATAATATATTAAAATGAATATGACTTATTTAAACAGTTTTATGAGTTTCAAAATTTGGATTCTTCTATCCTCTCTAATCTTTAAATATTTAATAAATGAGTGTTAGAATGGTTTTCCAAAAGAAATTAATTAATGCTTAAATTGTTTTTAATGCTTTAAATTATTAATACTAAATTGAATCACTTGTGCCTTCCTTATATATGTTTTATAAAATTTATATAACTATTAATTACAAAAAACAAAAATGTATATTTTAAAATTAGAATAGTTAATTTCCTATTTAGAAGACATACATTTATCTATTTATTAAGTCAAAAAATTATTTTTATTTTTTATTTTAATTAAAGTCTAATGTGGGTATAAAACATTCTACACCATCACTTAATTACAAATTTTTGTTCACATATGAACTTTCACATGAAATCAAATTAAATTAATATTAAATTTTTTTCTCAGTTAGTTGTTTAAATCAAGGGGAAAAAATTACTTTTATAATAATTTGATACTTCAAAATCTAAATTTCTTCCATTACTAATATAACATAACGGAGTGTATGTAAATAGCTATTAAAACAATTTGTATCAGTTAAAAAAAATAGATGTTTAAAAGTTACAGACTTTAAATATATACATACTTATTTATTCCCATTAAAAAACAACTATTAATTAAATAAATTTTGTATGATGTTTTAAATTTAATTTATTTATACGTTTATCAAATTTCAGTTCTAGTATAATAAAAATTTAAAATGTATATTTTGTTCTTAGTTAGATTTATGAGAATGGGTAAGAGAGTATGAGATTGGATTAGGGAGATCGATAAATAAGATTGTAAGTTGTGACTTAAATATGATTTAAAGCAGTTTCTTTTGAGAGAAGAGTAGATGTTTACTTATAAAAGTTACTCTAATGTTTAAGTAAGTAAGTTTTTAGACAAAAGATTAATGTACTTGAGAATGAGTTATAAGATAAGATTTACTTTCTAATTGGGTCTCCTTATATAGGACCAAAAAGATAATAATACCTCAAAAGATAATAATTGATAGTCTAAAAAAAATAACTTATATAAAATAATATATAAAAGATAATGTATAACAAGATTATTAAATAAATAAAGTAATTTTAATGGATTTTAAATAATGTGAGATTTACTCAATATAACCTATTTATTCGTCATACAAAAATAGTGGGTTGAAAACTTTAGGAAAAGGAGAGAAGAGTTTGGTAAGACTCCTATCTGAACTCAAAAAGTGAAGACCAAAACTTCGTTTATCTGAAAAATGATTTACATTTGTCATGTGTATGTAATATGATTATAAAGTTACGAATCGTTTTGTTCATAGATTTACAATTATTTGTAAACTATGCAAATATTAGATTCGTGACTTTGATTAGAGTTTATAAGACATATCTTGATAACTTGTATACCTAAATAAGGTATGTATATTCGTGTGATCTCAGATAAAGTGATCTAGGTTTTGATAATTCATATACTTGAGTTAAATTTGTATAACTCTTGTAATTTTAAGTAAAGTAGATGTAAATTTTGATAACTCATATACCTTATTAAAGTATGTATAATTCGAGTAACCCCGAGCAAGATAGATGCAAGTTTTGATAATTTATATACTGGAGTAAGCTATGAATAACTTGTGTAACCCTAATCGAGTAAGGTATGTATAACTCGTGTGACCCCAAGTAAAATATGTATAATACTCGAGTAAGATATGTATAACTCGTGTGATCTCGAGTAAAGTAGATGTAAGTTTTGATAATTTATATATTTGAGTAAAGTATGTATAACTCATATGACATTGAATAAGGCATAATGTATATAAGTTAACTTTGAGTCTTTGCGAATAAAGTGCGTAAGGGAACCATATATGAGTTCATCAATTATATCTTTGAATCATTGGCATTAGTTGGTAGTATGCTTATAATTTTGATGAAAATGATAGTACTTTGTAGTATCAACATGAGTCGAAGATGGTAGAGATGGTCGTACATGCACCAATTCAAGTTTGAAAGTGTCTTGCAAAATGTGTTATTTTCCTAATATTCAGATGTGTTTAATTTTCATATTTAGTTGTCTTAAGTTTTTTGGAGGATAAGACCGAGTAGGTTTGAGGAGAGATACTTTTCCTATTTTTAAATCTAGTATTATTATTCTGCATAACTGAATCTTCTTGTATAAAACCTAAAAGATAATAATTGATAACCCAAAAAATAATAAGTATTACATAAAAGATAATTTATAAGATAATATATAATAAAAAAATTAAATAAATAAAATGATTTTAATGAATTTGAATCAACCAAACTTTTATTTTTTTTATATAATTTATTGTATTTATTTATTTATTTTTTAATTGTATAGAGAGTTATTCACCGAAATAATATTTTTTCTAAATTCATTGAGAGAGTTATTCAATTTAATCTGTCACTGTCGGGTATATTTAGTTTAATTTCTCATCTTGAAATGAGTAGGTGCAGTGCAGGGGACCGTTGAGATTGTTTCAATGACATTGATGACGAAAAAGACAAACATAACTTCTCTGGTTGGAAAAGCACTGGAGAGTGCATGGTTTTGTGTGTCCTGATTATTAGTCACTATCCGTTGATACAAAAATCACGTGAATCGAGGGTGGCGAACAAAACTACGATGTGGCATGGTGGTGTACCAAACCCACTGTAATGAAACGTTCATTTTTAGTTTAAATACGTTTTTAAATCTATTCAAACATCACTTCAGATATTTTTATTTCCTGTACGAATTTTTATTAGTTTTAATAGTTTTATATTTTTAATTTTGTTTGTAAATCTAATCATACTTTCACTGAAACAAAATAATCTAAATTTAAAATTTACAAATATTTTTATAAAGATTAAAAATAGACAAAATCATATTTCTTGAGATTAAAAACATATATTTTGTTTTCAACATCGTACATGTTATCTTTATTTATGTCAATTTTAAAGTTTTAATTTTCTTTCTATTCTTCTATTCATGTGAATCTTTATAAAATTTTAATGATATGAAGACTAAATTAATAATGTCAAGACTTATGTCACTTTTGATTAACTATAATTTTGATCAAACACTAAATTAACAATAATACATTTAATTTATGTAACTTTTAGAAAGTTTAAAAGACTTATTTAAAATTTCTTATATACATATACTAATATAATAAAGAGATACAAAATTAATGTTTTGAAGTTGATCGATCAGTAAGTTATTGAAAGTGCCATAAATGTGAGTTAATATTGAAATAATAATAATAATAATAATAATAATAATAATAATAATAATGATGATGATGATGATAAATAAAACTTTGCTTTCTTGATTTTTTTTTTTCAAATGTAACATGAAATGAAAATTTGAGTGTGGGCATAATACCAAAGATTGGATTTTTCTTAGCTTCTCTTTTGCAAAACTCAAACAAAAGGTGACGGCAATTTGTGAAAGGAAAATTAATTTAATTATTTAATTTTGTTCTTAAGATTTCATTTCAATATAAACATTTTATCCTATCATTAATCATATATTATTAAAAAGTTTAAGAAGGTTGATTATTATCATATATTACTTTAATAAAAACAAGATGGAATATTTCATGTTAATATAAAACTAACACGATCAACTAAATATAAATTTATGGTCATTATTTTTTAGAAATTGATTATTTTTTATGAGTCATTTTTATTTTTTAACCACTCTCTTTTCTCAATGTACCTCCCATGTCATTGCAGAGAAAAAAAAAAAGTATAATAAATAAGACAAATTTTGGTGGTGAATTCGTGGGGATGGTGAAGGAAGACTTAATTTGTTTATGATGCGTTTAAACCCTAAAATAATTTGTTTATGCACATGCCTACATTATTCTCATATTCATATTATTATTAACTGTTTATATAATCTCTGCCTACATGTCAAGAATATTAATTATTTATTTCTATTTATATATAAAAATATAAAATAATAAATAATTAAAAATTGAATAAATAAACTAATTAATATTAATTATTTTTGTTTTATATTTTTATGTAAAAATGTATAATAAAGAATATAATTTTGTAATCTCTTTTTAACTGATTTTTTTAATCTTGTATTTATTATTTTTTTTTCTTGTAAGAAAAAAATTATAACAAATTTTTATTTTTTATTTTTTTCTTCACCCTAGTTGATTATAGTGTGATTTTGATATATTTTAATTAAACATAGTTTTCATATTCCAAGATAATCTTCAATTTTATTTTATTTTTTTCCACTACAAAATGTCAATAACTCTTTTTGTTTTATTTTTATTATAATGATATAAGTAAATAAATAGTTTATATATATTTTTCTTTTATTGGTATTATAATAATACTTTATTTTATTTAAATTCTCTTAATTTTTATGTTAAAATATATTTATGAGTAGATAAAAATTATAATAAAAAGCATAAATAAGTTAATTAATAAAATAATTATAATAATTAAAAATAAAGAAATTGAATACATAAACTGATAATAAAATAATAAATAGTTAATATTTTATGCCATCCTATTATTAATTATGGTCCACACAAGGAACAGAAAAATTAATTTTTAGTGTCTGGAAAAATTCACCAATTCATGGTTCATGAGCCAAATGGCATAATTTATTGGGAAGTACACCTCATGAATTATTCACAAATAAACAAAATAAACAAGACAAATTTATCAGAAGATTTGAAGTAAAAGATGACAAGAAAGGTATCAAGTTACATGTCGTTTTTTACAGTAGAAATCCCGAATATTTGATACTATTTTCTATCATAAATTATTATAATTAAAATATAAGAGATGTGATTTCTTAAAAGATCTAATCTCTTTTTTACTTTCATATAAAAAAAAAAAAATCCTTTTACTAAATACATTCTGAGGTGTGTCCCTTCCTCACAAAGGCATCGCATATCTATGAGGGTAGTTTTATAAAAACTACAAAATAGCCATTCACTATATTCATGTTCAAAAATTAGCATAGTACTTTTAAGACAAGAAGTAATAATGAAATGTTTTAAATTATAAAAATGCTTTTACAAATTCTAAATAAAATGTGTTTCAATACATGTATTGAGAAAACAAAATTATAATAGAAATACTTATAACCTCTTGCAACTTTGATCCACACTTACACTTAATTTGTGTTCACCAAAATTTAAATTCTTTCACTCCTACAATTTCAAGACAAATCCACTTTATTTGGAAATGACATCCACTTGATCCGAATATATTGATAGCGACACAAAATTCTTGCATATCTTCAACTTTAAACCCCAAAGACATATTTTCCTAAAGAACGAAGCTCAAGCACGTGTTCGCAGAAATACCCCCATCTATTCACCCATATGCAGAATAAGTACTATTGAAAAAGAGATTGAAGGAGTGAAAAAGATGACAAATAAAAAACAAACACTTCAAAGTAGAATAAAGCATTTTAAAATTTATAATCAAGCAAAAATGATGGTAATGTAGATCAATTGACATTATATTTAAAAAGAGAAAGAAAGAAATTGAACAAACCAAAAAGCATTGAGTAAGAATATTAATATGTGATTGTCTCTCCCAAGAACCTAGTTAAGTTGACATGAGAGGAGAAGAGGAAGCGAAGCCTCCATGATTTAGATTCCTTCAGATAAAATTCTTCCAGGTGTTCATTAGCCCCTCAAACTCCTTATGAGGTCCACAACAAAAGAGGAGCTCCAATGAATGTTTACCTCTCTAGTAAGATTTGCCCTTTCTTCCACTATAAATACTGGGTCATGGTTCAGTACTTGGAAGCATAGCAGCATCATACAAAGCTTTGAATTAAAAAACTTAAGTTCATTTCTTGTGCTTTGCTTTCATCCTCAACCAAACATGTCGAACGGATGCGGCAATTGTGACTGCGCTGACAAGGCTCAGTGCACGTAAGTGCTTCATTTCTTATCTGCTTCTGTGTTTAAGGCAAAATTTACATAATATAGTTCGTGTTACAATAACCATATTTGATCTCCAGAAGATAAATCTGTATTGGAGTGAGTATATTTGGTGGCAGTACACTGAGATATCTTGTATAGCTAGCATGATACATGTTAAGTCTGTTTTACTTATTTCTTGACACACTATGCATGCAGGAAGGGAAACAGCTATGGTGTGGACATTGTAGAGACTGAGAAGAGGTAAAACTTCACTTTTGCTGTCCATTGTATTTGGTTTTCTGGACTTTTGACCCGTTTGATCTGAGAACATTTTTTTCTTTTATTTTAAACTTGTATGGGAAAAATGTAAACACAAGATTCAAAAATTGTTTTCTTTATGAGATTTTAAATACAAAAGAAATATGAAAATAAGATGACATTTCCATGATTAAAAGTGAAAATAGGTAAAAAATAATCGAAGTAAATTGGTCCTAAGTTTCTAATTATTCCAGGAATATGCAAGGCCTACTAGTATATTGACCATGATGCACCCATTATAACTGTCTTTTCTTTTCCTTTCTTTCCTCCAGCTACATCGACACTGTTGTCATGGATGCTCCAGCTGCTGAGCATGATGGGAAGTGCAAGTGCGGCACTAGCTGCACTTGTGTGAATTGCACCTGTGGCCATTAAGGAATTAATGAAAATGTAATTGCCATGCGTTTGGCAATACACTCGTCCAAATAATGTAATTTTCATATGAATAAATGTGTGCTGTTATGATACTCCAGGTCTGGGTGGTTATGCAGTCTGAATCTTGTTCAGTTCCTGTCATAGTTATATAACAGCCATGGTTGTGGCATTTTATGGTTAAATAAGTGTAATTCTATGTTCAATAATCCCTTTTGCGCAGCTATATAGACACTAGCTTCTATATTAATGAAAGAAAAACTATACATAAACACCTATGATACTAAATGGCATCCAATGAGATAGAAAAAAAATATACAAATTTTATAGGTGTTATTATGTGATACAAAGAGAGATAAAGAAAAATAATAGGTATTGATGGAGTGTTTAAAAATAATGGGGAAAAAGAGAGATGGACCTCAACATAGTTCAAACACTCATCCAACGCCTCTATTTTATTATTTGTTTTAGTAACTTTAAAAGAACAAACACACAAAAACTAAAAAAACAGTAAATAAAGGCACTTGATGGATGTTGATGGTGTTTTGCGATAAAATGAATGGTCTCTGTATCATCACTCAATTCTTCCACACAATACACTGTGATGAGAAAAAAAAAAATCAAACTAAAATAATAGTAATCATAGAATTTGAAATCTAGGTGATTGTACACACAGGAAGGAAAGACACGTAACTGTTAAGAAAGCTGGTAGTAATTGGATATGGAAAGGTACCAATGAACTAGCACTACTTTGAAGGTGTTTGTTATGATTTGTACCACTTTTTACTAAGACCAATTGAATCAGTTGCTAAAGCACAGCTTTGAAATGATATTCAACTTATATGGCATATCCAATACACTTGTAATGAGCTATGTCCAATGATGTACATGTTGATGAAATGCTATATTGATCCAGCAAAATATTTGGTTAAAGGTTCAAACAAAGCATTTTAAACCTTGTTTTTTATTCAGTTATCCACATAATAACCACACTAGTACCAAAATGAGGAAGATATCATTGAGAAACAATTAAAATACCTGAACCTTTAGATTTCTGAATAAGTTAGTTATACTTGCTAGTTGCTCGCCTCTATATGAAGGACAAACAAGAAAAAGTGGAATAAAAACAGGGCAAGGGGATTTATTGATTAACAGCAAGGAATTTAGTAAAATAAATAAATGACCGCCAAACACGAAAACACGGCATGGAAGTGATAATATAACCATTTGTAAAATATGTCAGTCTCAAAAAGTTAACATGGTAGAACCTGCTGGTTCAAAAAGCTAGAAGGTAATAAATTATGAATTGCAGGTAGCAATCAATATCCCTGTTTTTATTTAAAATTTCAACAGTTAACCTGAAAATTGTCACCCAAAATATGTATCAATTTCATAAAATCAAAAGAGGTCATCTACTACTATCTTTTTCTCCTATTCCTCACTATTGACCTTAAACATTGAAGCCCTCAGCACGGAGGCAGAGTCGATGAGCCTCAATCCATTTTGCACAAGCTGCTTCACCGTGCTCTACCATGCACTCATCTCGCAACTTTTTAGTGTCCGGGCAAGCACAGCAGATTTTCTTCTTTGGCTTTGTTTCTGAACCAGTTGCCACGATCACTGAACCTTCATTTTTCTGTGATCCCTGTATGGCCAAGGCAGAGGAAGCATTTTGCAGTTGTACACCACTCATTTTCTTGTACCCTTTAAAGAACAAAACAATGATAATGAATAACGTGTAACTCAAAAGATCTGGAGCAAGGGTGGAGAGATTGAGAATACAAACAAATGAAATTATTGAGAAAAAAAAAATGGCAGTGGAACAGAAGCAAATTAAAGAAACTTAGTGCTGGAACTTAGAAATATGTAATAGTAATATAGAGAATAGGAAAGATTATACTCCTGTAATTATGGTAAATAGGATAAGTGTATATATTATATTGTATTTAATATTTATAACATCTTATGTAAATATTTGCTCTCCTCTCTCTCCCATAACAGAAAATACACCCCCATGCTACAGCAACTGGACCTAACTTGGCTCTCCTCTTATACTCGTTTGTGACAGGCCTATCACTTATCGTTGCAATTAAGTATTCAATAGGTTCATCAATGATATAAATTAACCATGATAAATAGCAATTAAATAGCCTTGCAAGGATAAACAATGCTGAAAACTTTGGATGAACAATGTTATAACACCAACCAGCAAAGAATATATTCAACAGGTTCATTAATCATACAGAATAACTAAAGATGAATCAATCCTTGTAAGTATAAACAATGTTGCAAACTTCAATCAAATTATGACACTACACGAAGCAACAATAACATAACACATGTTTGAACAAAAAATACCAAAGAGTTAAATCATCGGCCTTTTTAAGATAGACATTCATAAAAAAGTCCTAGGAAAAAAATTTAATGTCTTCCTCATTGGTGAAAGAATCCCAAAACCAGATATCCAACGACTTATAACCTATAGGATATGACAACAATCAAAGAACATGCATATTCCTTGGAAAGTTGGATTCATATTACTAAAGCTACTTTCTGTTCCTTTAAATCAAACGTTACTATTCCATCTTTTTGCAATAAGTGTTTTGGAGCACAATTTCAAAACTAAAACTAAAGATTAGAAAAATGATAAGCCACCTAAGAAGCATCGTTCAAAATAATTTTGAATATTAAGGAACAGCCAAATAGAAATGCTGGCAAACTGTCGGTTAAGCTCAAAAATAAGGCCTTACACTTATACTCTCAAAGAGCTAAGTCAGCTAAGGCTAATGTGCAGGATTTGAGTTAATTAGGAAACGAGTGATGTAGGCAGGGGTTATAGGGGAGAGAAAAGTATTAGGACTGGGAATGTGGGCTTAGTATGCCCAAGATTTGGAAAGCGTACAACAGGAAAAACAAGGGTGTGAAGAAAAATACTGAGATGGCGAAGGTGTAACAGAATTAGTTAAAGAGTTGGTGAAGTAGTGGAACTATAGGGGAAAGGAGAATGAGGAAGAGGGAAAGGAAAATATATTGTGAAATTCTGTTATGGCCAAGGGGTGTAATCTCTTTGGAGGAGATTGCTCTGCAGCAATTGGATTCATCATCCTGCTGTATTTTCTGTTTCGTTTTGAGGAATAATACATATTTTCTCATTTTCCCTGATTATTATTCTTCTACTTTTCAGGTCTCCAGCAGAAAAGGAATCTAATGTAAAATGGGATGGATGTTCTAATAATAATACTATTCTTCCTTCGGGGATAATCCCCTTGCGTACAGGGGCCTTACTAAAAAAACACACTTCACTTTAAGCCTATCTAAAATCTGAGGAAGACAAACTTTTGGTGAAATTAACTTGAAAGGGGTTTCGAATATCAAAACAGTTTCAAGTATTTTAACCAGATATTTCTCATTTTCTAACTCATGCAATTGCACCAAGCGAATATAACAAAATTGTGAATTATCATAAAAGTGGCAATAGAAAAAGCCAAAAAAAGGACTAGAGGAACTTGGGTGGCATCCACGTCAAATTTTTTTCTACAAAAATTAGACTACTACTAACAATTATTCATCATTTAGAAAAAAATTGCCATCTTATTTTAGTTTATTAATCTGTCTTGTAGCAAAAGTGCAACATGAACTACAAGAATCAACACTGCCATGTTTCTTTTGTTTAGAAGAGGTACTAGTTTTAGAGGCCTAGATTTGCTTCCTCAACTAGTGTATCTCACTATAACTGATGGGGTTTGTCATTAACAATGGTACAATAGAAACTTTATCCCTCTCTATTAACAGTATCAAGAAATAGTCACCCTGTCATACTAGAGTCTAGATCAACCTAGTATGTAACAAAAATACTACGTGTGAATATGTTTGGTTAAATGTAAAGTGTAAACATAACATGTCAGTGACACCTCCAATTGTAGGTCCCGAAACAGATTTCTCAACTACGGCATAGAATTAAAAGCATGACCAATGTATAGAGAACTCTCATGTAAAATTCTGAATTTGAAACCAACAAGAAACATGTCAACCAGGAAACCAACAGGGTTTACTTGTTAAGAACCATCGGAGTTTAATTCCTTGGCATTGCTTCTTTGTCATAGCCCCATTCTTCTAGCCTATGAATTTAAACAAACCAAGTTCTAGAATAGTTTCTAACATAAATTCTCCCCATCATGATACGCAGGACCTAGTTGAGAACCTCTCTCACGATTAAATAAATCATTAGTCAATATAGCCATTGATCCAACTTATAGCTTTGTCACAGCAACTTTGTTCTCTCAAATACAACATTTACAGGATCTCCCTACACCCTAAACCCAACAAATAAAAACACCACCCACACAGCATATGGAAACTCAGAATGCAAGAAGCTGTCTTGACCTTGACAACTTAAACTGCAAACAGAAAACTAAGACAACAGTACCACCGAAGCACATGCTTTTTCATTACAAACAAGGTTTAGAAACAGTCTCCAATGCGATTCAGCCGCAACATCAAGGCTTTTCACGTGTCTGCAACCGCAATTGTGTCTGCTTCAACCTCATTTGTCCGTAAAATCCAGCAGTATCAAGAATCGCGATGAAATCGCTACTTCACTTTACAACCCTGATCTCAACTACGTAACCTATGCTGATATAGCCCATTTTGAAATTATTTTGTTAAGAAAATTTCCTCCAATGCTGAGAGGGGCTAAAGGAAAGTTATGGCGCTAGTTCAATGTTATGCCCTCAACTTTAAACCGTTAAACGGTTGAACAAATTTAACCCCATCTATCGTGAATAAGAAGATAAGCAAACCACAACACATGAATACCAAAAACAATAAACAGAAAGCGAAAAAGACTCAGTACCAGGGAACCTTGACGCTAGGTGTTTGAAGAAGAAGCTGAATAAACAGAAAATTAAAAATAAAATAAAAGTTGCATGTAAAGATTGAACATAAAATATCAACTAGTACCCAATTGCTATACATCCAGGTATATTAACCACAAAAAAAAAAAAAAAAAAATGTAACGTCTGATGAAGAAACTGAGAACGTATAAATTTACTTACAAATTTCGCCCTAAATGTGAAAGTAACAATTTTCTTAGGGAATGGGAAATGAACAGAAAGAAAAGGAGTTCGGATAAGAGTTAATATGGGTTTGCTTGCAGTCTAAGGAGAGATGCGAGAAGAGAAAGCTTAGAATTCTGAGTTTCTGGTCTTTCTTCTTCGAACACCTGGCTTATTAATTACGCTTTGTTTTAATATTTATTATTATCATTACCACATAAAAAATTATCAAAATTTAAAAATAATTATTGCAATATTATAGACAAAATTATAAAAAATTGTGTTTTGCTAAAAATAGTGATAATAATAATTTTATTATTATTCAACTTTATATTGTATCTTAATACCCTTAATTAATTTAATTATATATTTATGTTTTAAATATATTTAATAATATAAAATAGAGTTTTAAAAATAAAAACGTAATATAATTAAGTAAACTAGTTAATATTTAATTATTATATTAAATTTTAAAAACTACGTCAAAATTTATATGAAAAAAAAAACTAAATGCATAATATATAATATGTTTCAAATAATTGAGATTCACATAGATAAATTAAAAAAATTGAGAAAAATATAATTCCCCGTATAATTAGAATTGATCCTATCTAATCCGATTAAGTTATTTAAAAATTATAAAGGATTGACTTTGAAAACAACTGTACATTAAAGTCTAATCTATCTTTATGCTGTGCTAATAGATTATTTTTATCCGTTTTAAAAAAACTACTAAGTTAATAAAATTTAATATATATATATATATTAAATTTAAGTTTTATTAATTAATTTAATTTTTATATAATAATTTAATATATAAATTATAATACATATTAATAATTTAATATTTGTGTTTTTAAATTATTGTATAAAATAAATTATATCATTAACTTACATATTAAATGAACTAAACACTGAGAAAAAAATAATCCGCTTTAGTTTTCACAATTTTTCTTTTATAATTTATTATAATATTTTGCAACTTTATAAAAGTTGCTCCGTGGGTAAGGTCCATTTTACATCCATAATTAAAATTCATCTTTACAAATCCAATAAATTACACAAAATTGGACACTGAGATGAGAGCATCTACTTTAGGGAAAAAAAATCAACGTCCTGAAAGACATGGCTTGAAGATAAAAGAAGAGAGGAAAATTCCTTGTTATCGTCTCTCATTTGAAATAGGCCATAAGAATGGCATCACCCTGTGATTAGACACAGCAATATGCCAAACAACAAATGGACATTCCTGCGCCAAAGTTATGGATTCAATACAGAAAAATATACTTTCACAATTGAAGTTTTCACTAACCACTGTATAATCCCCAATTGAAACTCAAGCAATAATGGAAAGTTGCCAACTCAAGTTCAAATAACCTCACAGAATCTGTGTTTTTCTTGAGAACCAAAAAGTTGACTAAACAAGCTCCATCACCCTCTCTTTTTGAAGAAGACCATAACTATGTAATGGTTCTCCATTTATGTTAAGAATTTGAGCATTCACAATGAAATTCCCAAACAACCCTGAAAATATTTGCTCCTTCCAACTAAAACTATTCAGCCTTTCTTTGGGCCCTGTTTTTTTCCACAACCACCATCACCGAAACTTGGAAACCGAAAACTAATCATATTTCTCTCTCCATGTGTACACAAGAAAGAATACCCATGAAATGGCCAAGGCAATGTCCCCAACAGCATGCCTAGGCCAGTTATGTGCAAGATCCCCAAGCTTCCTCTCAAAGAAGAATCTCCACACTGCCATGGAAATATGAAGCATCACACACCCTTTGGCAAAGAAACTCTGGAATTCCCTGTCCTTGACAAAGGCAACCATCAACAGCAGGAACCCAATTGTGAACAACAATAAGCCAGAGAAGGAATCTGAGGTCTCAATCAAAAGCTGATCATGGGGTGTTGACCCTTGAAGCTTGCTCGCAGCCTCGGATCCATGGCCAAGCACGGAGATCTCTTTGGAGTAGAATATCATCAAAGCTCCACAAGTAAGAGCTATTGTGGAGTGAAGAACACACATAAGGGTAAACACAGAAGAAACCATTGATCCAATTGACTTCAAAGACTTCTAATTGTTTTCTCACTTCAAATCAATTGAGATTGTACACCAACTATAGTAGTTGAAATTTCAAGCACTACTTTCTAGTAACATACAAGAACCAAGAACATTACTCACAAACACCCATGACCAATTCTAACGCTAGTCTGATACACATGTTAACTCTTCCATCACAACCGTGAACAGTTATAAATTCAATTTTCGAGTTTCAAACTAATCAGAAACTGCAATTTGCCTCTATCAAATCTACCAAACAAAGCTCAAAGACAAAGCAAGAAAACTCACAGAACCCCTTGAATCAGATATATTTATATATTAGACAAGGCGTTGGAAGTTGAATCATAAAACTAAGCCTATGAAGCTGTGATGATCTAAAAAATTGGAGCAATATTAGAACAAATTTTTTTTCCCTGAAGTGGGAATATGACAATAGATCAGAAGGGTATATGAAGGGGTTACTGTTTCAACCTCAGGGTACTTACATATAGGGACATGGTTAATCTTCTGGATTGTATATGTATCATGTATGAGGATTAATGAAGACACAAGAAGATTCTTATGCCATAAATAGCGTAGGATTTGCTTCCATATTCCGAACCACATCCAGAAAATGCCATTCTTTTTCTCTGGTAGCTTCCATGCTTGTTCTGGTAAGAAATTGAAGAACGAATGGCACTACTGGGTCATGAAAATGGGTCTACATAACTGTTGTTAAAAGAATTATTCAAAGCATGGTGTTGCAATATTTCGACTTTGGAACAAGTAGGGGGGCCCATATTTTTTTTTTTTACTTTTCAATTATCTTAAGTCTCTCTTGACAAACTCGATTGGATCTCTTTGTCTAAAGTTTTGAACTTAATTTTATGAAAGAAAAAAAAATATATAATCAAAGTGTTTGATGGAAATTAATTATCAACAAAAATAATAGATATTCTAATTATATGGTTAGGGGAGATTGGTTTTTCAATAAAGACCCAGTGTCTTAATAAAATTTGGGTCAAAAAAGTTACTTTTTTATATTATCTTAACATGTTTTCATATCTTAAATATTTTTGGTTAATGGGTAGTTTGGATAAGTATAGCCGCCACCTTTCCTATATTTTAATTTATCTCGTAGGGTGTTCATGATGCACCATGATTGCGTAGGAGAATTACAAAGTTTTTGAGCTAAGAATCAAAGGTGAATTGCAAGGGCAAATGGACCTCACCCATCTCAGATTTATTGTCTGAGTTCGTATTATTGTATCAAAGGTGAGTACTTTACACTATTTGGTTTAAGACCAAAGCAATTTTGTATCTAAATTTTACCAAACAAGTAAACGGTCACTTCTTGTGAATCTTCTGATTTTCTGCCCACTCACCTAATGCCAACAATCTTGTCGTATCACACACAAAATGAAATTGTAATAGGAAAGCGATCACTGGTTTCCTCCTAACAGCTAAGGGACATGGAGAATTTTTCATTTTAAAAATAGAAAAATTAAAAAATAAATAAAGGCTAAAAGTAGACCTCACCTTCCATGTATTTGCCATGATGGATGGTGATCTATTGTCCAATAAAAAAAATAAAGTATTTTTATGTGCCCCCTTGAGACTTAAATTTTAATCTAATGGTTACCCTTCTTGCATACTCAAGTTAAAGCAAATGTTGCTTTCTTTGGTCCACTTTGTTGAGCTTGCAACAGATCATGTTCTGTGATAAAAAGTTGAAAACCATGGTGTTTCAGAAGCTTTTTCGGTAGTTTGAGGTAACATGTTTTTTAGTTTTGTTTTCTTGAAAAGAAAAAAAAATGGACATAACATAATTTGAAAAGGAAAAAAAACTTTTAATAAATAAAATGATAAGATTTTAAATAGAATTAACATAAAAAAATACAGTATAATTAAAATTTGATAAAGATTATGAATAAAATTAGTAAATTCTCAATAAGGTGAAAGTGATAATCCTAATAAAGATATATTTTTACTTTAATAAAAAAATCATTTATTGTTTATTTTTTGAATTCAGTAATTATAAATACAAATTTAAGATTTTGTTTGACTTTATTTGTAATTAAATAAAAGAAAAAGAAACCAAAAAAATTATAAGTAAAATTAATTTATCTTAAGCTAATCAAATATTAAATTAAGGGGTTTTTTTTCAAATTTCAACTCCATCAAAAACCATAAAAGAGTAATTTTCTAGTTTAAAACTTTTTGGGTTTTTCTAACATTTCTTTTAGTTATTAATCCAATTAAAGGCTCATGTTTGTTACATCCTTATGATATCTCCCTACATTTCCATAATTAAATTAAATCACATTTTACTCTTACACTTATCTTCATTTTTATCTTTAAAATGTATTTCAAATTAGTCTTTCTAGAAACATATTTTGAAACACTCAATCCGGATTGCTTTTTCATAAAGACTTTTTTGGAAACACATTTCAGAACATTCAATCTGAAATGTGTTTCCACACAGATTTTTTCAGACAAGCATTCAAGAACACTCAATCTAAAATGTATTTTTAGAAAAGTTTTTTCTGGAATTCAACTTTATTTTCGCAATATTGTTTTAGTTAGATTGAACAATTTAGATCTATTTTATCATTTGAATGGAGGAACATATAATTCATATATAATATTAATGATTATTTATCTTTAATTGTTAGAAAAAATCTTGTAATAAAACACAAACATTAAATAGTCAAAGGATAAAAATAATAAAAGATAAAGGTGCATAAGATATACACAAATAAAAAAATAAGAAATTAAGATAAAAAATAAAATTATGAAAAAATATTTTAGATTTTTTATTTGGGATATGAAAATATAAGAAAAAATTATGAGATGCAGAAAACAAAAGAAACGTACCCTGATTTCAGTTAAGAGTTACAGAGCTCATGAAGTAGGTAGCAAACTATTTTTATAAGGTTTTCTTTTAGGAAAAGAAAATGGACAAGAAACATAACTTATAAAAAAATGAATATAATTTGTAATTAATAAAAGTCTAAATTTAAACATGTATAAGAATGAATTAGTTCGTAGGTAGTGCAATGCACGTCTTTTTTTCTATATTAAAGTTTAATTTGCTTAAGGTATTGTTTAAGGATTAAATATTTTAATGTGTAAAAAATTTAAAAACGTGTTTTAAATGTAAGTTCTTACATCAATGGTTAAAACTATAAATAGATCAACCTAATTCTAACGTTTTTTTAAATAATATTATTAGTCTTTTTATGAAAAAATAAATTGGTGAGATCGTTTTTTATTTCTAATTCATTTTTAATTTTATTTTTCTCTTAATACAAATAATATATTTATTAAAATAGTGATTCTATTTTAATAAAATCTTTTAAGTGTAAATATAACATCCATTGTAATATATTAAATAACTTTGAATTAATATAAATATTCATATGAGACAATAAAGTATTCAATAAAAAATTATTAAAATAGTTGACAAAAGTTATGAGACAAGCTGTTGATTGAGTGAGTGATATATATATATATATATATATATATATATATATATATATATATATATATATATATATATATATTTTCAAAATCATTAATTTCTTTGAAACTTTATTTTGTTTAAATCTAAATTCAGAGTTGTTTTAGTGAAAAACAATAAACCTTTTACTAAGCATGGACATGGTGATCAAATCAAATAAAGATTGATTTAAAAAAATACATTAACTTAATTAAAAAATAGAGAAGAGTAAGAGACTAAATAAAAAAAATTACATTGATTGAATCATTTGAGACCATCACCATGCAGATGAATTTTGACAATAATAAAATCTTTAAATGTTAAGTTTCAAGATTTATGAACATTTTCACGTAAAATAAACTTAAAATCTCTTTGTTTTGTTTTATAGGCTAGAGATTAACTCCTTTGGAATCCACATTCTTTAACTACTCACATTAATAATTAAGAATTTGGGTAAAGTTAAAAAAGAAAATGAAAAGTTTCACAAATAATAAATTATATCTTCTACTATCTACCTATTTATTTTGTAGACTATATATTTTAATAAAAATAGTACTATTTTATTATATGAATTTTGGTTTAGTATTTTGTAATTTTTTTTTATATCTATATAGGTTATTATTTTTACAATGCAGAACAATGAATCTCTTTCTCATTGATCTCTTTCTTCAATTTCATTGTTCCAACCGATTATTTGATAGGCAATCTTTTAAATGGTGCTTCATGACATGAAGTGTTGTCACTATTTGGTGTCTTCTTCAATCTCACCTTTTCATTTGATTGCTTGGATCGACACGTCTTCGGACTTCGGTACATGCGAAGATACTCTAACATTCAAGTACGTCATTAGTTATTTATTCTTGTCAAGTTTCTTTAGAGATAAAGTAACAACCTTCCCATTGGATTTGTCTTTATTTGTATGCACGTGACTAGGTGACATAGCTTGGGATTTTACAAGTTGGGGTCATGATAAGGCCCTTGTGGTACATACGTGTAGATCCTAAATCTTACCCGACCTTATAATAAAGACCAGAAGAACTTTTATTCGAAAATGGATGAAGTTTAAGAAGCCACTAGGAGAGACTAGTATGCCCCATACTAGGATAGGAGGGATTTTTGGCATAAAAATAAGGATTTTCGCCTTTTAGGGTTGAGACCGCCGTCTCGGATTCGGGACTGCCGTCTTGCCTTGTGAAAGTGGCGAGACGGCCGTCTCGCCATTTCTGCAAAGCGAGACGGCCGTCTCGAATGGCGAGATGATCGTCTCGACCTTGTCAGACGAGACGGCCGTCTCGACCTTATCAAACGAGACGGTCGTCTCGACCTGATAGGCGCGAATCCCTATAAATAGTCGCGTCATTCCCCTCATTTCACACAGTTCTTCCATTCTCTCTCTAGTCACTTCCTCAAATTCTCTTTCTAGAATCCCTCCGAAGCATTTCCGGAGTTTCTGAGAGCTTTCTAAGAGTTTTTACAGCGTTTTTTGAGAGATTCCGGCGCTGTAAAGAGTGAAGGGCTGCCAAAAAGCACCCAAATTGTAAAGAAACTAATAGAAAGCTTACCTCAGAGGTTTCTACACTCTCCCTCTCTCCTTTACCACTTTATTTTTAATTACGCAATAGACATTAGGGCCATGTAGTCATAATTTTAAATTCCGCAAATAAAGGGTAAAAACGTATTTTTACCGGTTTATTTATTCAAAGTAGCTAGCCCATCATAGGAAACCCAAAAGGGGCGTCGTAAGGGAACTAACACTTCCCTTACACGTAACTAACTCCCTTACCCAACTCTGGTTCTAATGACCAAAGTTGGTTTTTCGAAAACCAACGCCTTTTTACTCCTTTTCCGATGTTTCCGGTAAAAACATTGGTGGCAACTCCAAAAGGAACCCTTCAAAATTAGTTCTTGGTTTAGCCCGATTATCGGACAATCCAAGAGTGTCTTTTCGAAAACATCGCCCCTAGGTTCAGCCCGGTTATCGGACAACCTAAAGGCGTTGTAACCACACCAATAAAAAACGTAAAAATTGGAAAGTCGGAACCATCGCGTCACTCCGACCGCCTCGTTTTGACGGCAGCGACAATATGCCTCCCGAATCTCGAGGCGAACGACACTAACAACATGTCGGGACAAACTTTGTTTGGCCATGTTGATATTGGCGACAAAGAATTTGTTTGGCTGGGGAAGTGTTTGTCATTTGGACGCGTACGTCTCGGTTGTTCGTTTAGTGTTTGACTAGGCTCAAAGTTTCTTGAATTGGGGGAAAATGTTTTTCTTTTTTTAGATTTCTTTTCTGGAAACACTCCTCTCGCAAGAACTAAGTCGTTGAAACAAGTCTAATCTAACGGTTGAAATGTGTGACACTTCGATTTCCATGTCCAGGGCTATATAAAGTGTGGTGGGTCATTTTCATTGTTTCGCGACTCTTGTGATTTTTGCTCTGTAAAGTTCTCTACACTATTTGTTTCGTTGCTTCTGGTTTTTTTTGTTGGTAGTCAATTATTGCTCAAGGTAATAGTGACTTATTCATTACGTTCTTCTTCGTCCGGCTCTGAGAGTTCTTCGGCTAGGTCATTGGCGAGGGTTGAGGGTGTTTCAGCCGACCATTTTCACGGGGATAGTGTGAAGAGTTCTTCGCTTGACTCCTCATTGAGGGGACAAATGCTAAAAGGGCGGTCGATGATTTGACTAAGTGCCCAGGGTATGATTGGGTGGATTCCTGGGTTCAAAGTTATTACTCGAAGTACTAGTGGTCGAGTTTATTAAAGTCTTTCATTGAGTATCAAGACTTGTTGTTGAAAGGTGCATCTGACAATATGGTGGTCCTCTGTCGTTGTGGGGTTATGGATAACGTATGTCATGGGTGAGAGGTTATTGGGGAGTATTTCTATATGTACGCTTGCTTGTTTATTGACATCCACGTACGACTCCTCATCGATGAGTTTATCATGAGTGTTCTTTGTGTGCTCAACGTTGCACCTTCGTAACTTCATCCTAACAGTGAGTTGCTTTGCAACCTTTTCGCCTTTTGTGTGAGGCTCTGCACTTGAAACCG